ATATTCCAGACAAAGTAATTAAAAAAGATACGGAAGATTATTTATCATATTAATTAGATGCATCAACATAAGCTTCCTAGGTTTTTAAGACGCTGAATTGTGGCAAATGACTTTGCGTGCCGCCCGACTCCGCTCGTGTGCGCACAGTTACATCATTATCCTTGTTACTAAAATACGAAGAATCCGAATGGTTCGATTCGGTCTACGAGTTCCATTTATTGAAATCCCGTTAGGACTCCATTTACACATACGTAGGTAGCTACCATTATGTGAATTGGATGATTTAGATGGTATCTTTTGACTATGAAACAATGGACAATCGCTTATTTTAATTCTTGCATACTTAATAAAGGTTATATTTGCCATCTTTACTAGGAAATGGAGTTAATAATAATTAAAAGTTTAAAAATACGTCTTTATGCTTACGAGTAGTTCTTCTATATAACTTAGCATACTCTTTGTGAGAATTATTCGTGATTACTCTTTCGAAATGTGATATGTAAAGTAAAATCTTATGTAGGTACTTACTTACTTTAGTTAGAAAACTTACTTTAAAATGATTTAATACCACATAAATTTATTTGATAAATCTCAATTAAAAAATATTCGCTACCAATATTGTAAGACAACCGAGACGAGAGGCGCCATTTAGAACATTTCATATCTACATTACCATAATTTCCATCTTCTAAGTCCAGTGCCCGAGTTGTAACAGCACCGTTAGACAACTTATTGAGCAAAGCGTCGGCAGTCGAGCACTCAATGACTCTTCAGACGCTATTTGTGCCCTATATTTAATTGACTGACAAAAATGATAGGATATCAAATGATTAACTAAAGAATAATCTACTTATTATAATTATAAATATTTTGTTACAGATACTTAACACAACATTTTATCAAGTGTAAAAGTGGACTTTTTTTCCAACATCATAATTCCCTTCATATTATGTTTATTACGTGTCTTACGTGCAACCTTGTATACGTATATATATGTTGGAACTTAAGTGTGTCGTGTAAGGTAAGGTTCCATCGGTTACGTTACGGACTTTAGAAATTCTTCATAATTATTTATAGAGATATTAGTTTTATCATCAAAATGCAATGATTTAGTACATTCTGTTTCTCAGCTGAGCAGAAGTGTGGTCGATTTATTCTTCAAGAAATGTGACAATCCCTGTTGAAGAATTACACACCTATTTCCCATCGGAGCTGCGTCTGCGTGCTCAGGTAATCGATGGATGCGCAGGTAGATCAGAACCGTAGTTTGTGGTATTCCTAGAGGAAGGCCCATGTTCAGCAGTGGACTTGAAAAATGCTGTAATTATGATGAAAGTTTAAAAACACAAATAATTATTGTATAGGTAGCAACAGTGTTGAGCCATAGCCGTTTTCCATAATATAGTTTTTTTCTAATCGACATGATTTTCGAAGCATAAATAAAGTTTAAAAAATTGTCATAATATTTGATAATGCTCTAAAATAAGATTTCATAAAATATTATTATATTGACTGGCCTGTTGGTCTAGTGGTTAGTGACCCTGACTGCTACGCCGGAGGTCGTGGGTTCGATTCCCACCCAGGACAAATGTTTGTGTGATGAGCACGATCATTTGTTCTGTGTCTGGGTGTAATTTATCTATAATATTTATGTATTTAGAAATATATAAGTATGTTTATCAGTTGTCTAGTACCCATAACACAAGCTCTGCTTAGCTTGGGACTAGATGGCGTTGTTTGATAGTTGTGGAATATTATATTATTGTGGAATATTATACTTATTTTGATTTTTAAAATAAGAACAAAGTTATCAAAATGCAAGTGGTAAGTCAATAGCGATAGTCGACGATCAAGAGTCGACTAACGGTCGGCCGTCAACTGATGACCGACACCTGAGGCCAAATCACCGATAGCCAGCTCAAATAATTGTACCAATTATCGGTCCCTCACGTCATCGTTCAAATCTACCAAATTACGAATAAAACACAATTCACTGCAAGTAAATGAATACACGAGCAGGCATGACTACCGGGTCTCTCATAGCATGAGATTGTTCATGAATTATTTAAAAAAATTATACTTGCTACTGCAAATTACCATTCAATTTATAACATTATTCAACTGTTGTGTTACGGTGGCCATTTCATGTAGTAAGTTCAGTTCAGTTATGTAAGTACGTACAAAAGCACTGCTTTTATATCGGACTCCAATTCAAGTATTATGGTTTTTAAAACCCATAACTTCAGAGTTTATTTTTTATGCAGTGTGATTGCACCCCCGTGTAGGGGCGGGTAAGAATACCGTCGTAAGTGGCGACAGCGGGAATCTGAAGCAGAAGATGGGCGGCAGCATCTTTCTGATAACAGCAAAACAACAATAAAAAAACTGCGATTGCTAACCCGCTCACCAAGCGTGACAACTATGGCAATATACATCCCCATGAATAAATTTAGCTAACGGTCGGAGCTAAGTTCTGCAAGACACAGAGCAAAAGAATACAAAAACTCCGATCACTCTCTTAATCTCACGGCTGTTAGACAGGAAATGAATCTGCAGTCTTCAGCAGTTTTGACAGTGTACAAGCAACTGAACAGACAGATCTCCAAATGCATGCGCAGTGGCAGTGTCGTTTCCGGGACACCTGAGATTTTGAGTGAGATTGAGAGGTTCTATGGGCGGCTGTACACACAATCGTTGGAGCCACACGCAGGTGTGAGTAACAATCCAAGAGCAAGTCTTATCAGACACTATTCCGATGATATTCCGGACGTCAGTCTGTGCACTCTCTGTGGGCTCTCCAGCACCTTAAAAACGGCATGGCTCCAGACGAGGATGAAATTACAGCGGAATGGAAAATCGGTACTTGAAGTCCTTCGGAAGCTCTTTAATTCTGTCCTCAATGGTGGCACTAAACCGGAGGCGTGGAGTAGAAGTGTGGTGGTCTTATTACCATTTTCTCTTCTGAGCCGCGTATACGTGCTGTTTTCGAGAGTCCTTACAAATCATCTCGCATACAGTATCGACGACTTCAATTGTTAACTTAAATTGTAATGGAAACTGTAGTATGTCTGAGAAATACTGTTTTGAGTAACGCATTAGAACCGTGCTGCATAACGTTACGTACTATAGCTATGTTTCAGTTAGAAAACATGACAACGGCAAGTAGTACAGCTAAGCAGAAAATATGGCATAATGTAATACAGTAGAGTCGTGCTGCCACTAGAAAATATGACGAAAATATTACACGGTAGAGCCATGCTCCTACTATAAAACAACGTGGCGCAGTAAGCTGTGCTGACAGAAGAAAAAAATACGCGAAAATGTTAGAGGCGCTGTGCTGTAGGGCTATGCTGCTACTAGAAAACATGACATAATTTTATGCAGTAGAGAAATGTTGTCACAAAATATAACATTACGTACGTTCTTACGTGGTAGTGCCATGCTGCAGCTATATTAATAGTATAGTTGTAGCACGAATACCAGCGTAAAATAGCAACTTAATGCTGCTGTGTTTCGTACGGTGAGTGTAGAGAACCGGCGACCCTTTTTACTGGAAAAGAGGTATTCTATCTTAGTCCTCACAGGTGACGACGCATTTTCATTTTGATTCTTTATTGAGAATAAATGTAGATTTCTATGGGTCACATAGACCACTTACCATCAGGTGGACTGTGTGCTCGTTTGTCACCCTATCCTATAAAAAAGCCATATGTTTTATACGATACGGGTGACAAACGAACACGCATGTGATGGTTAGGGGATACTGCGGCCTATTCGCCTATTGCCTCGATTAAGATTCAAATGCAGATGCGTTGTTACCCCTGAGGACTAAGAAGGAATGCCTCGTCCCATTTAAAAGGATTTACGGTTCTGTACATTCACCATACGAAATATATTTTACGTTGAAATTCTGTGCGAGAGTGATCCTTCCCCGGTCGAGCTGACCCCTTCGTGTTACAACAAGCAAAGCAAAATAATAAATATAGCCACAGTGTAGCTATACAAACGTATAAATTGTAATTAGTAAACACTACATAATGTTACGCGGTAGAACCATGCTGCCACTTCTACAATATTTTTCGTCTCATAGGATGAACAATTTATAACGGATAATTTATGGTTATCATTAGCATGAATTTATATGTTGAAAAGTCGGCTTTGCGCACTGACAGTTAATAAGTATGGTTCCGAATTTCATTTATCCACAAGCTTTTTGTATGCTTTTGGAGAAGAACCATTGTTTGACAATAATAGACAACTTAATACTGGGAAGCTCAGAGCAGGGCTGCGAGCACAATAGAAATGAACGAAGTGCCTGATTATTAATTTAAAATATTGAATTTTTTTTTATAATACTTCGACGTATCTTGACGTCTCGATTCCTAAAGCTCGTATTCTATTCGTTTTCTCTTAAAAAAAAAAACTAATTGTAGACGGGCGCTTTGATTCAATTTAACGAGTATTGTCGTGTACCGTTCGACGGACAGTGCGGCTATCGCGGTTAACGGGACTGGTTCACGGCCCTGAGCCCCAATGATGCTTTTGATCGACCAATTATATAATACTCTAAGAACTTTGTAGCACATTCTGCTTTGAACAAGCTGTGAGGTAGTACCTCTAATCTATAATATCTATAATACACAAAAAAATTTCGACTTCCGGGTTTTGTCGTCGGTTGATGGTCCTTAAGAAGTCTTTGTATTACTTGCGCATTTCATAACTTTAATAATTTGAAGTTGCCGTCGTGATCGACACCAGTCAAGAGAAGAACCTTTTATATTCACATAATACGAACAAATGACAGTATGTTCATACTGTGTGAAGATTGGCTAGGCTATGATTATACATAAGTAAAAAATTTAATACTCTGTGCTCGTTCGTCATACCTCTCTCTCTCGCTATCTCTCTCTCTCTCTCTCTCTCTTTCTTTTTCATACCCTCTGTAGAAAGGTTAAAAATATGATATTTGCAGTGAAAGTATAAATATCTGTTAGACTTACTTGAGGGCGTAGTGTAGTATGTCTCGAATAGTAGTCATGGTGGTAGAAGCTGGTAGGAGATATCGGTGGCCGGTACTTCTTGTGGCCGTAGCCCATTGTATCCATCGTATGCATCTTCAAGTTTCAAAACACTAATCTGTCATCACATACACTCAATTTACTATTGCACTGATTGTCAATAGGCAATTAACCGTCACATGTCACTTGTTTTTATTGTCTGAAACAAAAACAAACTTATATTAATCATACCTACACTGTTGAAATAGTATACATGGTTGACACAGTTGACACAGGTCACAGTTGTGGTTGTATTTTTTAGTAAATGGACCTAAGACATTAAAACATTAGAACTAAGTACATCTATGTACACCTTAAGCTTGAAAATGAGAGCCAGTGCGTGTTTTTGATGACGTCATATTGATCTGAGACGTAGTCCTTTACTGTTAGTAAGCTATGGAGAGGACTATGCTCAAAGTAAAGATCCACGGTAAAACCTTTTTTATTTTATTTTACAAGAAATAGCAGTTGGCGTAATTTATAGTTTGCGCTCCCGTGGTTCGTTAATAGATTTACTAAAAAAATAATATGTTTATTATCATTAGAGAATAATGATTTCGCACATATGCGATAAGCGATAATGAGTATTCAAAAACTAAATTTAATTTGATTTACCAAGAAGCAATGATAGATGTCATCGAGAATTATGAAAGAATTACAACATAGATAATCCTGAAATGCCAAAAAAATTATGATTTACTTTTCTTAGTCTCACTAAGAAAAGTAAATCATAATTTTTTTGGCCCGATATCTACCTATTTATAATAAGATTCCTAACCATGAAGGAGTATAAGTACCTCTCGGAAATAAAATTGAAATATTATATAAATAATTTAAAATTAAAAATGTTGTACAGCCGACTTCAATATAAATTATTAAGAATAACTCAAAAACTATTGGTCTGACCTTGATCAAATTCATATGGGACCTTGTAAAGTACCAGCTTTCATATAAAAAAGAATCATCGAAATCGGTTCTCCTAGTAAAAAGTTGTGTGGTAACACACATAAAAAAACATACAATTGAGTACCGTCTCCTTTTTGAAGTCGGCAAAAAATTGCTTGTGCTCCAAGCCTTGTTCTATACTTTGAAACATTATTTTGATAATAAGGAAGCGTAGAATAATATTAATCGACCTTAATACAATTTTTGTGTGACGCTGTTATTGTAATGTATAACTTAATAAAATAAAGCCCTAATAAATACCTGTTGTAAAAAGTTTCAAAAAAATTACAAGTTTGCTCTGTAAAATTAAACATTTAAATAAAGTAAAGCGGACTTAAAGAGTAAAAAGAATTAAAAAAATTACATAAATGCTTTTGAATGCTAAGACAAGACAGTATATAGAAAAGTTAAACTTTAGACTTCAGAAGTTATTATGGGAAAATTATTTTTTCTTTATAGTTTTTTGAAATCAGCTTTTCCTTTTTATTAAAAAAATATTTTGAGTGAACTAATGAATTTCATAAGCTCTAGATAACAATTATGATATCGTCTAAATAGTAAATAATTTTCCTTTATTTCCCTCTAGAATTTTTTGTGTAAATCAATATGGGACCCATAAAGTAGAACATATTTAATAAAAAAAGAATTATTAAATTCGGTTCTTAATTGGCAAAGATGGCGCGTAACATGTATACAATAACTTAAATTAAAATTTATAAAGCGCCCCGAAACAAAAAGCCGATGATCTTGAAACGGCTCAACAGATTTTCTTGAAACATAGCTAAGAACACTCTCGATTAAAAAAAAACCTAATCAAAATCGGTTCATTCGTTCAGGAGCTATAATACCACAGACAAACACACAGATACGCATGTACACAGATACATACACACACTACAAACACATAACACCCCTCTGTTTTCGTTGGGGGTTAAAAAAAAGAAGTCGATTCGAAAACTTCCTTTTTTTTTGTAAAAGTTCTAAAATGTGTATTAATCATTAATTTATGTATATGTAAAGTAGTCTTATATAATAGATAGACTCAGATATGCCTTGCTCATTTAAAGGTCTTTGCTTGCAGCGGTGTCATGTGACGGGTCGTCCACCTCCTTTTAAAAATAGTCGAGGAGGGCAAAGGCGTTATACATGTGAACAGATGCTGCTTGTGGGGACTGGTCTGACAGGGCTTGCATCACAATTATTAGTTTTAATTTTGCATATTTTTTGTGTAATGTTAATAAAGAACAAGCGTTTATTACCTTCGGGTCTATTCGTTTTAATTTATTATTAAAACTATTGTATCATTGATCTTTAAAAAATTACAAAGAAGAGGATACCTACGGAGATTCTTCTGTCGTTTCTTCACCGAAGATAGGAACCTCGTATTGAAACGATAATAGATTAAAAACATGTTGACATTTGACAAACAAAATTTTAATTTTTAACTCTAAAAATATTGTTTTCGTTTCATTTTCAGTTTACTTTATTTAAAAAAAAAATAACCGTCATAGCCCAACTGATCAGTAAGCGCTCGTCATAAATTTCACAGTACTCGCAAATCGGGTTAGATTCCCGGCAGCAAAAATACACATGGTAAATCTTAAGTGCTGATTTACCAGCTGCTCAACGGTGAAGGCAAACATCGTCAGGAAACCTGTCTGAGGAGTAAAATGTTTCGAAGTAAAGCGGCGGACTAATTACTCCATAACCCTCACAGAAATGACAGGAGACATGTGGGTAGCAGACGAACGTATAATATGCTTGTTACCTTACTTTTTTACTTTACTCCAACTAAGTGATGCTTGTTTTAAAATAAAAATATCAGAGTATACGCATGGCCGAAACTACCCGTATAGAATGAAAGTAGGACTTTTTATTTTATTTTAAAATGATCCTCAATGATGAGTCTTTATATAGTAATAATCACTGAAATAGAAACATATTGATTCAACATGTGTTCTCTGTTAATTGCTCAAGGCACGATCGCCTCCAAATTATATACATACTTAAAGCGTTTCGTGAATGGTTAGATATTAACTTGTGTGTCGTGAGCACAAGCACGCACCTCGGGAACTTGGGATGACGATGCGCTGTGCATAAGTAAACAGTGACCACAAATATGTATTTAAACTAACGTGTGCATATGAATACAGTAAATTGAAACTATGCATTCGTTAACCTTGTCAGAAGCCAATCGTTTTTGCTGCCGCTGTAAAAAGATGGGCTTAGTTTAAATAATTTAATGAAACAGTTGTCATTCATTGTAAGCTGTTTTCCTGTGTCGTAGATGTATGTTTATGTACACACGAACAAACACCGACACTGTACAATCATTTTCATACAAAAATATTTTTTTTCGTGCTGGATCGAATCCATGACTTGCAGTGTCACAAGCAAATGCTGCGCTATCAAAATCATATTTTTTCCGCTGTTTTGAAATTTTTAGTGATTTAATTTTACGACATAGTACGCTAAAATGTAAATTATTACTATTATTGTAAATTATAAATAATGTAAATTATAAATTGTTACTGTAGTTATTTATGGCAATTTACGAATCCAATTTATAAATTAAAAATACAGTGTAAATACTGTCAATCAATATTGAAATATTTTTTATTTGAAATTAACGGATCCGTAAAAATAGGACATAATTAGGTTTAAAATTATTAAGTGATAAACGACCATTGTGAAAGTATGTTCAAAATAAAAATAAAGAACTTTTGGATGTTTCCCAGAAAAACTTGTTATGACAGTAAAATTGTCTAATGGGGGCTACACGCCGCATGACGTAAGTATTTTACGGAAATATGTGATGATATTTCTGGTGACATACTTTTCTCCAAAACCAGTTATCAAAAATCTTTTACTTGGCTCTCCAAGAAGAAATGCAGTTTGTGTGGCCGGACTAAATTATGTCTCATTAAAAATGTAGCTACTTACTGAAATATTTTGAACGTGTTTATTGTAACAAAACGTTGAACAATAATTAATTAAGACTTTGGATAAGTAAAAAGTTTGTAAACTAAAAAAACTATAAAATTGAAATTTTTTAATGAAAGCCTTTTTGCTTACAATTAGAAAACCAGGATGTGAAAGAGTGTTATAAATAAAGGAAACATTACGAATATTAAAATTTACATTAAGTAAATTCCTTTCTATAAAGAAACTTTACCATGGAGGCACAGAATAGCAAGCATAAATAGAAAAAAAAACTCAAGAGCATGACGCTAACTTTAAATTTCACAGTATATTATGATCAATCTAATTTCATCAATTAAATGGAAATATTGGTTGCAATTTGACGTACTTTTCGGTTTCCATGCACTATCCTATAAAAGTATGAATCGTAAGGGAACCTGTGTATTATAAAATTTCAAATATTTTGAGGATATGTACACATAAGTATGCTACGTTCGCTTAAATGTCTTTATTGGCGAAGGCGCGGCGTCGTGTAGCGGTAAGTCCAATTCCATTTAAAATGGTGATGTGGTAAGATGGCGATGGCTGCTACATACGTTATGCTTTTGAACAGATGCTGCTTGTGGGTATTGCTTTCCTTGGGTTTATCATGAATGATGCACTTACAAGCTTTAAATTAATGCTAATTTGTCAAGCGATTGGTGAAATCAACATTTTATACAGTACAAATAAGAAAACATACATCTCTGTCATTTAGCAGTTTATTTAGAAAGCTTTATTAGATCTAAGATTCCAAAAATAAATGATAATAATTTTAAAATCATTTATAACTGTTAAATACCTTACTGGTGATGTAAAGTAAATGAATCGCTGAATGTCTAATAAGTTGTTTTTTTAGTTGTTGCTAAGTAATTTGTAATTTACAGTATACAAATACCCTAAGGCCCTGCACAACCACGACTTTTTATATTATATAAAGTTTTTGTACTTACGCCATTTGCAATAAGTAATTTAATATCTTTTGTTTCGTTACTCGCATTTTATGTTCAAAATTCCTATAAACGTATAAAAACATGATTTCTCACAAAGCCGCTCGAGGCTGACCTTATCTCATGGCTCGTGAAGTACAGGCTGCGATTTTGATAACACGGATGAATGACTGTTTTATTTTCAATGTTTTCCTTAGTGAT